GCACACCTTTGATTGTGTATTGTATATATGCTATCTGTTGCATGTACTTGTGCACAAAGACATTCATTTCATTCTTTTTATCCTGACAAAAATTAAGCAATTTGGATATTGCACGCTCACAATCCTGCATCTTAGGAAGACAACTCTTCTCATGGCTATCATACATAGGACCTAAGGCTGAAACTGCATCATGGGGACGAAGTGAAGAGGACAGCTTGCTGCTAAGAGAGTCATCAACAAGCTTCTTTACAGTGTTCACGTCTTTCCTGCACAAACATGATAATTAATTTAGCGGAGACATATAAACAAATCATGTACCAGAAAAGGGAAGGTACAGGCATTAGACCACTCAACATAAAAAACCAATCTAAAGAACCACAGAAAATAATACGACATAAGAAAAAGATTATCCAGGACAAGTGTAACATCAATTCCAGCCTGGTCAACATTGGTATAAAAGACACCCAAGTCAATCTCCAAATGCATGTGCCAATATGTACGTCAAAATAGAGCATGCTTATATACAACAATCAACAGGCCTTGGCACATTGAAAGATACAAAAAATAATAATAATAATAATAATTTTTCCTTTGTCTAGAGTTGGATAAGAAAAATTAATGATGTGGCTTAAGCCAAAAAATAGTACTGCCTACCAAAGTATTTAGCAAATATAAAAGAAGAGCAACAACAACTTCAGCTTTGTTCTTTCTTTCAATTAAAGACCAAAGCTTACACTGTTGAAACTGCCAAAATACCATTCTTAACATTTTAAAATTTTCCAAATTTGAGTTGTCTTGGTTTTCTTAAATTCTGGTTACAGTAGACTAAGAAAAACTGGAACACCAAAAAGAGCTTTTTTAAGCACTTTTAAATAATCCCCACTTCAGGAGCTTGTGTTAAGGAGCACCATTGAGGAGGGCCACCAACCCCAACTTTCTCTTTCTGAGCATCCAAGGATTTAATCAAGAAAATTACCACTGAAAAGAGACAAACATATCCCATCCATAGAAAAAAGATATTCCTATGCAATTAATTCCAAAGACATTCCCGAGAATCTAAATAAAACCTCTGTCTAATTGACTTCTTCAAGAGAGAACTATTACAGAAACTGATGTCCTTGTCCACATCAATGTTCACCTAATAACACACTGAACTTGTGACATGAGGCTCCTACTGAAAAGATAGCACAGAACTATAGCCTTTGTTTTATATAAACCTCCCTACCTTCAGATTCTAATTCATTAAAGTACCAACAGAACGCTAACTCCTTTTTCCAATTATTGACAAAGCATGTATAAATATCTTCAATTTAAATACCTGATCTTCCAAATTCTTTTACTGACTAGATTACATAAGCATTGTCGAGATGTTTGACCTTCTAATGTCTTTTACTGAAAATTATGTTTGCCATGCTATTTAATTGCAACAGTTACACATTTCTCTGAAGCTGCAACACCTAACAAAAAAGTTATTTATCAAAAAAGTTATTTATATGAGAAAAACCAGCTTAATCAAGTGATTCATGGCCACAGGGCCTCAGATGTTCAAAACTGCACCATAGGCAAGTTTACATTACCTAAAAGCGGTGAAAGAATAGGACAGGAAAGTGATGTTTTAGAAATTCCAAGGGAACTGCTGTTTAAGAGGAAAAAACAATGCAAAAGATTAATATGCCAAAATCAGAACTAAACATGCATAAAATTTTCATGCGACCGTACTCATAAGTTTAAAATCAAACAAAAGTAAGGTCAAAGACATCAATAGTCATGGTGAAATTTTAAGAAATTTCTAGAGAACTGCTGTTTCAGCAGGGAAAATCAACGCAAGGCATTCATGTGCCAAAATCAGAACCAGATATAATAAGTTTTCATGCAAACATCCTCACATATAAGTTTAAATCCATCAAAATAAAGTCAAACACATTACCAGTCATCGTGACATTTCACTATAATAACAAAAAGTCAATTTCAAATTCATGGAATCAGTAAGACAGTTTATTATGCAACACATTTACAAATTATAGACCAGTACTAAATTGGGGAACAAAACACATAGAAATCCAACAAATTCACTGAGAGAGAACAGGACAGTGAGAGTACCTTAAGGTCTGCATTATGCTTTTTTGCTCATTAATATACCGCTGGTGCTCTTTTAGAGTGGTTTCGATTTCTCCCACATGGAAAGAAGCTTTACTGGAAAACAACTGTTCAGCATTGCGCTTTAGCTGTCCAAACTCCTGCTTAAAGTCTAAAACTTTATTCTCAAATTGCTTGTGGGAATTGCTACAGTCCTCCACAGCCTTTTGCAAGTTCTCTTCCTTCACAAAATCCAGTAAGCACCTGCGGCTAGCACCTTGTAATGCAGGCAAAATCTTGCAAGCTTTCAATTTCTCTATATCTCTTCCAAAATTTGCCAGAAGATTAGCATGCCTTCTATGCTGCTGCGAATAAAACTTCTCAAAATCCCTATAGTTTTGGAGAATCATCCTATAAAAATGATCCAAATTATGACCAGCAATCTCCAATGCTCTCTCTTGAACCTTTTGCTCTCTGAAAAGCCGCTCACAGATATCCAATTTTGCTCGCGTACGGGAATAAATAGCATCTCCAAACTGAAAATGATATCTGAATTGCCTCTCATACGATGGCAAGGCCTTCAGAGCAGGGTCAGGAGCGTCATCCAAGGGGTGACGGTTGTGGGAGGAGGACGGGACTTGGGGATCAGGAATATCAATTATATCAACTTGCTCATCTGCAGGAGGCTCTGAATTGCTCCTCATTCTTGCTCTATTAAACAAGAATACTTCCCGATCACCAGACGGAAGTCTATAGGTAGAAAGGGGCCGCTGAGATTCCAACTTCATGTCTAAGCATAAAAGAAGCTGATCATTAAACTGAATCCCTGTAACTGATTCTAGGAATCTCTGGACAGCCTCAACGATATAATATTCATCGCACTCGAGCTCGAACGAGTGCCCATTCTCAGCAATATGAACCAAAAGCTTGCCCGTCTGAACAACACCTTCTGTGACATTTGAACTCATTGTAAAACTGCCCCTCCACCGCAACAATCAGAATCAGCTAAGAAATAAGAACAACCACAGCAACAACGCGAATTGAATAGTTCAGCTAAGGTCAGGGCTAAAACACTAGTTACAGCTTCTCCAACTGATTAGCCCCAGACAGATGAACAGTTCCCCCAATTTTAGACCTTTAAAGCTTATGTTATCAAAAGCTCTCCAGCAATTATGTACAATCCACCATAAAATCAACAAAAACATGTCAAATCCCACCAAATCCTCCAATTGGTTTACAAGAGGAAATAGCAATTTCTATAGTTAATTTTCCAGAAAATCCTGATTAGAAACAATCAACCACCTGTGATGTCAGCAAAATGAGCAAAATCCCAGCAAACCCACCAAAGATTGTACCAATTAAACCTCAAATATTATTCAACCACTTCCAAAAACCCCGTGTAAAACCCAAATTTTTAGCAATTGAAACCGCAATTTCTTAGAAAAGCCCCAACTTTTACTAACCGACGAAAGTTCACTTCTTTTTTCCGAAACCCACAAATCGAAACCAATCAATTCCTGCAATCAAGCAATAAAAAAGTCAATATTTAATCCCAGAAAAACAGAAACCACACCCAAAATTCGAAGCCAAGGCTAAAAACGTACGAATTCAGTAACAAAGAAGCAAACTTTTCTCGACCCAAGAAAGGAAAGAACGAAAAGCCCAATTACGTGAAGAAAGAGAATGTTACTTAGGATTTGCATAGAAAGAGTTTTAACACGAAAAGCTATCTCCTTTTCCTAGTAAGTTCTGTAGATGGGCTTGCTTGTGTTTCCTTGATGGAACAATATATTTGATCCAAAAAAAAATAATTTAAAAAAAGATTTCTTTTCTCTTTTTCTTTTATAATTAATACACTAGTATCGGGAAGAGAGAACCTTCTGAAGGAAGTAACGACCGACCAACCAACCAGCCAATTAACCAACAGGTAACAGAGCCACCAGCAGAAGCACCGGAAGATGTTGCTTGGTAGTATCTTGGTATTAATTAAGTGCGTGTTGTGTGTGTGTGTTTTGTTTCTTCTCCTTCCCTAGTATCCTTCTCACATCGGAATTATAAGGGCCGGGGGTGGACTTGGATAGCAGTAGTCTAGGAAGAATAGGAAAAGGATTTCAGATGGCAATCCAATGTTGGAAATGTCATGTACCCTCTTACTCTTCTTCTACAATCATTGCAATATATTTTTTATAAGAGTAATAAGGAGTTTAGTAACACTAACGATGATGTGTGTGTGTGTAAATGTCTGCACGTTTCCTGATGATCAACTCTTTTTCCTTTTCCTTTTCCTTTTCCTTTTCTTTCATGGAAGAAGAAGAAGGTAAATTATTTGCTCCAGCCTCCAAGCATAATTTTTTTTTTTTAAATTTTGGTAAAAAGTATAATGCTTTATACTCTAAGGTAATTTCTATTTGCCCCATGAAGTTGTGCAATGTTTGATTTCATCCCCACAAATTAAGTTTTGTTCCCTTTTACCTGCATCAACTTTTCGCGTATGTTTTAGGCGGACTTGTCACCTAGTACTAATTTGTAAGCCATAGTACTTCCTTTTTTTTTTTTTTTTTTGGTTGGATGTACTTAAGTTTGAGGTTAAGTGATACTAAGAAGGAAAAAGGGCAAGGAAAGATGGTTAATAATTCTGCTTAGGACTTTAGTTGAGTCAAAAATTTAAAAAACGTGTGTTTTCTAACGGTCATCTTAGCGCATAATTTATTTAGGAATGTGCTATAATAATTTTGTCTTCTAAGAAAGACAACGGGGATGGAGTCTTACTTGTCTCTTTGTACTTTTGATTTGGGTAAGATTCATTTATGCTCTTTTGAAGAGTTTTCAATAAAAAAAAAAAAGAGTTATTATAACACATTTTTGAATAAATTAGAGGACAAAAAGATAGTTAGATGATGATAACTTTCAGTGTTGTAGTCAGAATGTATGTGAAATCTGGCTGTTTAGAGAAGGCATGCATAGTTCTCGATGCAATGGACAAACAGACGAACATTGTTCCAGATGTTTATCTGCTTAGAGATATGTTCCGAATTTATCAACAGTGTGGTATGCTCGATAAATTGCAAGGTCTTTACTACAAAACCTTGAAAAGTGGAATCATATGGGATCAGGAATTGTACAACTGTGTGTTAAACTGCTGTGCTCGTGCTTTGCCAGTTGATGAACTCTCAAAAGTTCTTGATGAGATGCTTCGACATGGGTTTGCTCCTAATACTGTCACTTTTAATGTGATGCTTGATGTTTATGGAAAATCTGGGCTTTTCAAGAGGGCAAGGAAAGTATTTTGGCTGGCTAAAAAGCGAGGTCTAATTGATGCTATCTCTTACAATACAATGATAGCTGCATATGGGCAGCATAAGGACTTGAAGAATATGTCATCTACTGTGAAAAAAATGCAATTTAATGGCTTTTCAGTTTCCCTTGAAGCCTATAACTGTATGTTGGATGCCTATGGGAAAGAAGGTGAAATGGAGAAATTCAGAAATGTCTTGCAGAGAATGAAGGAATCTAGCTGTGTTTCAGATTCCTACACATACAATATAATGATTAATATATATGGAGAGCAAGGATGGATTGAAGAAGTGTCTGGCATTCTGATGGAACTGAAACAATTTGCACTTGGGCTTGATTTATGCGGTTATAACACATTAATAAAAGCATATGGAATTGCAGGAATGGTTGAAGAGGCTGTTGCTTTGGTTAAAGAGATGAGAGAAAATGGTATAAAACCTGACCTAATAACCTATTATAATCTGATCAATGCACTGCAAAAGAACGATATGTTTCTAGAAGCTGTCAAGTGGTCCTTGTGGATGAAGCAGACAGGACTATCTAATTAAGGAGGCAAATGGACACTACTCACTGTGGTTGCTCTATCTCTTCTCTTATTCTCTTCTGCTAAGAAAACCTAAGCTGTGATATAACACTGAAATTTGTTGTAAGTAGGCATGCCATATACACATTTTCTTCGTACCATATGTAGTTTTTTTTTTAGTCCTCTTATTTGTTGTAAAGTCATCACAAAGTTTCCTTTATCCTTTAATGTTTGCTTCTTTTATGCCTTTTCTATGATGCCATGAACCTTCTGAAATAACATTCAACTTTGGTAGATAAGTTGAAGTGCATATTGGAAATGCTAAGCTGTAGAATTGATGTTTGGATTCTGCTATTTTTCAGCCATTCCTTGCCTAGGGCTACAAACATGCAAAGACATCTACAGAAGTATCAATAGGTTCCAAAACTTTTAATTAAAAGTGCTGAAAGAGTTTATGTTAGATGCAGGAAGGGTCCCCTACCCTTTGGCGCCTCAGTGTCAAATAAATATAATTCCACCCTAGCTGATTATGTTACATGTTTATACTTGAATGCAGATAGCTTTTGTACTTTAATTCTTATGAGTGGAGGCATAGTTATTTAATTGCCTGCTTCTCCTCTCGTGATCATGCACAACATGACTGCAATTTATTTTCTGCTATTCTTGTGAGCTTCCTGTTCAAGGCCAATAATTTCTTTGAGGATGTTTATTTATAATGATGTAGTAGGATACGGAGTGGATTTTTCCTGCACAAAGTTATGTGATGTAATGAATATACTAACTCTGAATAGTCACGATTTGTTTTCGATTACTGACCAAGGGAGAGAAATAAATTATAAATGGGATATTTATGAAGGATACATGGCAAGATGATAGAAGATGGGATAGAATAGGAAGTGGGACAAAAGATCCATGGCAAAAATGCCCCATTATCGATGTTGAAATTCATTCGCAATTTGAACTTGTAGGCTAAAATGATCTTAGGATGCATGAAAAGTTTATACTCCCGAGGAAGAACTTAGAGTAGTGTAAGAATCATGGTAGCAATCACTTATGATGAGAGGATTCATGTTTCTGGATAAGTTACCAACAGATTTGCCTCCTATGTCTACATTATCTCCTTGGTTTTTTCAGAAACCACTTCCAGATATAAAGACTACACCATGCATTAAGGGACAAATGCCATCTTGAAACATGGTGTAATGCGGATGTGAAACAAAAACAAGTATCATAGAGTACCCGAAGCTCAATCTAGATAGTCAGAGATCAGATCACTAACTAGCTTTGACCCATGAACTACGTGAATATTTGTCCCTATATACAAATCATTAAGAAGTAGCCACTATCCAGGAAAGAACGACAGACTATTGTTTCTATTAGGTGTGGAAGGTGTGGAAGCAAGGCAGCTCAGCAACTTCCATGCCCTCAGAGAACCTTTCTGAGCAAAGAAGACAAACCTTCACTTCTGACTTAACACTACATTTAACATCATCTTCATCATAAACGTTTGTTCTTTTTGTGGCCTAATTTTGAGTGCTGCAATTTATTCATATTTTTAACTCACTTGTGGGCTAAAATGATCATATGATGCGTGGGGGCTTACTATTCAAGTTCTTGGAAGAACAAAAGATGGCATATCAAATCATGGCAACGACCACCTGTGATGAGAGGATTCATGTTTCTTTTTAACTTACCAATGGATTTGCCTCCTCTGTCTGAGACTTCTCCTCTCCTTGGAATTTCAGAAAGCACTTCCAGATATAAAGAGTACTACGATAAGCATTATGGGACAAGTGCCATCTTAAAACATGGATGTAAACCGAAAAGATGGAATAGAGTAACCATAGCTGAAATGAGATTGTCATGCATCAAATTATTAACTACATTTAGCCCTCAACTATCCCTATGGAAACAAAAATACTGGCTTTACTGATACTATTAGGTATTCCACTATCCGAAGTTTGAGAGAAGATAATAGAACTAATTTAGACACAAGCTGCACAGCTTGATTTATGCACATTGGACAAGAGTTAGCTACAACTAGCCACTTAAAAATACATCCCTTGTGGAAGGTGTGGGAGCGAGGCAATTCAGCAACTTCCATGCCCTCAAAGAACCTCTCCAAGCAAATAGGACAAACCTCCATTTCTGACTTATCACTATATTTGTCATCATCTTCATTTTAACTGTAAGAACGCAACTTCAAACCTGCCTGGACTTCAGATAGAGAGATTGAGGTTTTTAAACTTTAGGGAGGTCATGTGTAGAGCTGTTAAACGAACCGAGCTGTTCGGTAGCTCGGTTCGTTTCGGCTCGTTCGTGTTCGTGAAAGGCTCGTTCGAAATTTTAAACGAACCGAGTTCGAACGAATTTTTTTGTTCGATTAATAATCGAGCGAACACGAGCATGTTCGCGAGTTTTAACGAACATTCGCGAACATGCTAAACGAACGTTCGCGAACACGAACATGTTCGCGAGTTTTACCGAACGTTCGCGAACATAGACATAATTATCATTTAACAAATTTTAGGGTTAATTTTATGGCTGGACTTTTATATTTAGAGGGCAAATTTCTTTGTTTTATTTGTTGTTTTTATGTTAATGTTAGTTATATAGTTAATGAATAATAGAATTTAGTCACTTAGTGCTTTAATTATTTTTTAGAATGATTAATAATTTGCATGGCATATTTAAGGCATAAAATAATTTGGATTCGAGCATTTCGAACATGTTCGCGAACTCGAACTCGAACTCGAACACGAATTTTACTTAACGAACCGAACACGAACACAGGTTTGGAGTTCGAAAATTAATGAACGAACACGAACGTTGTTCGAACTGCTTAACGAACAGAGCTCAAACATGAGATACTCGGTTCGATTCGGTTCGTTTACAGCTCTAGTCATGTGGTATCATGTAAAAGTATAGAGAGATTATTGAGTAAAATAATTTTTTTTTTAATGAAACAGGCCCCTTTTAGATAAATAAAATCAATAAAACGGAAACCAATTGGGATTTGGTGCATGAAAAGTCATACACCATATCTCAGGTTGTCAATCAGATTTTGTGAGTTGGGTTTTGAGAGGTCTAAACTAGCTCATAAAATAAAGTAGAACTTTTGGACTTTCAGACTTAGACTACAGATTCAATGTGCAAGACTCATACTCGACTCCTAAAAAATTTAGGGCTTTAGGCTTAATTCGAGCATGACTCAAAAGTACAATTAATCCACAATTATATACTATATGCATATGATGTTTATTTTATTTTAGCATTAAATTATAAATTATAAACTAAGGTGCACAGGTTAAAGTTTTTTTTTTTGAGGGGAGGGGCGGAGCAACTCTCACAAAATCAGGGGTACATTTATGATAATTTCAAAAAAAAAAACGTTAAAAGTGCTTGACAAATTAAGGTTGTAAATCACTTGTGTAAACAAATTAAAGTGATTTTGAGTTGTGACATATGCATAAAAAATACATCATCATTATTAAACATCCAGGAGAAAAGGAAACATCCAGGATTAGAGTTTTTTTTTGCTTTTTTTTTTTTTTGTAGCACAATTTGGGTAGTTCAGAAACCAAGTTAATAAAGATTGACATGGATTATGAGCTATGGAGTCAGCATGAACTTAAATGCAAACAACACAAGCCGATCTACACATTGGACAAGAGACAGTACTAAGCAGCCATTGATAGACACGTCAAATACTCCTTCAAATTAATCAATTACTAATCAAACTCAGAGACGAACAATTGAAAATCAAATCCAAAGGGCTAAGTAAAACCACCATCAACATATAGAAACTAACAAAGATTATCTGACATATAAAAGTTAATGACATTACCCAAAAAAATTCCCTTGTGCATTTTGTCCCTAAAGCCAAATCATCAAGTAGTAATGATCATAATCCAGGAAACTAAGGAAAAAGACAGACCAATCATCCTGTTTGGTGTTCTACTATCCCGAGTTTAATACAAGATTTCCAATTGTACTGGACCAAAACTGCAGAAGTTGATCCACAAATTGGACAAAGATCAGCTCTAGCTAGGTACCCAAAGATCCATCTCCTGTGGAAGGTGTGGGGGCAAGGTAGCTTTGCAACTTCCATGCTCTCAAAGAACCTTTCTTGCCAAATAGGACAAACTTTCACTTCTGACTTATCATGACATCTTTCATCATCTTCATTATGAACATGCAACTTCAAAGTTGCCTATGCTTCTACCAAACCCTTTGCAGCTTCTGCTGGTTTGCTACTAGAAAGATCGATATCATAAAGGGTGTTCAAGAGATCTTCAATCTGCTTGACACTTATATCGCCCTTATGCTCAATGACCTTGTCAAGCTCATTAACTTTGCCCATGTCGCAATTATCTGCTGATTCCACATGTATTATCGAGTCTGGTATTGAGTTCAAGGGGAAAAACAAGCTTAGGATCCTCACTGGACAATATTTCAAGACTAAAATGAAACGTTCGATGTATTTGTGATGCTAAATCATCGGCCAATGACTTCATATTGGTGCATGAATCAAGAATGTTTCAAGATTCAAGAATTTGGCTCAACATTAAACTTTTGAAGTCAAACAAATTGACGCCTCCTGATGCATTCTTGCAAAACGAAACGGTTCCAGCCTACTTAATAGTACGAGGTTGGGGAATGGGACTAGCAAAGGCAGTAAACAGACAGATCAAGAATATGCCGCCTCTAGGCTCCGGGATCTTTGCATTCGATTTGAATACTTGAATTTTGGACTCAACCTTTTTTATCTCTGTCATACAAGCTCTCTTCGTCTCCATAAAATTTACTAGCCTGCTGTTTTTGCAACTTCTAATGTTAATGGATTCAAAATTGTATTTTTGAGGAAGGTTGCAAGTTTCCTTGGATTGATTATAAGTTCTTTTGGTTTTCTTTTGGATTGATTATAAGTTCTTTTGATTATAAGTTTGAACCCAACCGAGTCATCATCGAAACGGAGCTCTTCGTTCTGATATTGAGGCGAGATAATTCTACGATACATGGATTGCCAAGAACTCAGCGAGAAGTCTCCAACCTGGACAGAAACGGTCGAGTCACATCGAGTCAACTTGAATCCAACCAAAAACCAATAGAAAAAACAAAAAAAAAGGACGAAATTGTTATATTAGAAAAAAGAGAAAAACAATTGTTGTATCTGACAACCCATGCACAAAAGACCAAAATACAAAGGAAATAAAGACTCAACAGTGAAATTCATCAATAATTTGCAATCCAAAACAACAATAGAACAAAAAATCAAATCAAAGAAAGCTACCACTTTACTTTTCTTTCAAAAACTGCAGCCATACAAAGTGAGAAAAAGTGAGAGAAGGAGGTGTAAAGGAAAAGATGGCCAAAACTTCAGTGGAGGAGAGGTGAAATTTGGCGAAACTTTCTTTCATGGTCGCATTATTTGGATGCTGAACTTTAGGAAAAGTGTCTGAAATTTAGGCCCAACGCTTCGAAGAGAAGAGAAAAGTTCAGAAACACTAAGAATTTGATCTATACTCGGTGAGTTCTTTTTGTAGTTGAACGTTGCTTCTATTTCCATTGTTTATATAGATAAACATTTTTCCTATCTGCATTTTCTCTTATAGAAAAGTTTGGGGTTAAAATCATGGACATCCATCTCAATTGGGTTTGGCCCGGTTGATTTATTTCTTTAAATTTTTCTATACTTATTAGTAGGTATGAATTAGAAACGTATTGGATTAATTGTGGCCCTTATGTAATGAGCCAAGGTTGAATTAATTTCGATTGTGTCCAAAATAATATTTAGGAATTTAGATTTATCTGACTAATTTGTGTTGTTGAAATTTATTGTGGGTCAAACACAAGCTTAACACTTATCTCACATATAATTCAAAGTATACAATAGATTAGTCCAAATTCATTTGATATTTAGTAAAAATAGTAAAATATCTGTTATATCTTTTAATATAAATTTTCTTACTGGTAATCAATTTTACGAGATAGCTATTAGTAGAAGTTTCATCTTTATTGACTTTTTTTAGCTATAACGGTAATTAATTATACAATATATTTATTACTAAAACTTCTATTTTTGTTGACTTTTATAGTTATGATAACTACCTACAACTCTGGTTATAGCCTCCATATATAAGAAATGAATTGTAATGAGTAATTACTTTTAAATGATTACTTATAATCATAACGCTTCAGCTATTTGAATAATTTTATAAAATGCACTAATAATTTTAATAAACATTTAAACTTTACTAAAAATTTCTTTAAAAAAATGAACAAATGATCATTATAGCTAGTTTACATTATAAATAAAATTTTTAACTTACAAATATAATAAAAATAAATTATTACTATTATAATATGTCTTAAACTACTTGTTGTATTTTTTCATATATCTTTAAATATTTTGCGATGGATTAATCATATATATTGATACATGGAACAGTTACAATGACGAGCAAGGATATTGGTTGGGAACATGATACACCTGTGGGTGGGAATAGAAAATTTGTGAGATGCAATTATTGTGAAAAAATAATGCATTGTGACATTACAAGATTGAAAGAGCATGTCGGTCATGTCAGAGGACAGTTGAAGCATGTCCAAGGGCACCATGAGAATAGGTGTAATAAAAATGCATCTAAAGGCTGCTAAGGCTCAAAGAGTTGCAATAAAAAAAAAAAAGAAGAAATATTGAACTCTCTGCAACAAGAAAATATATATAGTAATGTCAACATAGTTAGCGACGATGATGACAAAGATGTCCTTGAAATTGATGAAGAAAGTAGGATGGTGTTGGGAAAAAAAAAAACAGATGAATCAAGCAATTAGAGAGAGCCAATACTTGCAATTTGTCGAAGAACAACGAAGGCATTCCACATCTGGTTTACCATTCATCTGGAAATGAGAGTGATTTTAAACCATATCGTCCTTCTATCTTGATATTAACAGGTACGGAAATATAAAGTAATAGTATATCTTTTTAGATGCTTGCCTTTTGTTTAATATGATTCCTTTTTATTTTTGATAGGAGATTGATCATGAAATAAGTGAAATTATTCCAACTTGTATAAAAAATAAATCCTTATTTTGTATTGTTAATGGTTATTATTACTTTTGCAATTATTAGTTTTAAAATTGTGTTTTGTGTTATCTTGATTCTGTTTGTGACGCCATTATATTACATGATGAAAGATGCTTATTGTGTTTAATATGTATAAAAATAATACATTTTACAGATTTTCTCTTACTAATTTTTATTATTTTTGTTTGGCATATTTTTTTATACTATTCACAATTTTTAGAATATTAAATGTTTTTCAAAATTTGTGTCTTGTTGAGACTGCTACCGATATGCCGAGACGGATGTGGAACGGTTTGGACCACAACTTTAAACCATGGTATACACCTCTGCAAAGTTGTTTCTTAATTATTTGAGTTTCCAATTTGGATTCGGAGTGTCGAACAATTGAATTATATTCTTCTAAGGAGCATTCATTTTTTGATTTGGAGTAGGATCAAGCTTTCCTTAATTTACCCGTTTCAGGAAGGAAAAAATTGAAGTTTGTTTTTTCGCTTCATCATTGTTTCTTTTCCTCTTTGTATTAGAAGTCTCGTCATATTTAACTAATCCTCTATAATAAAGGAATTAACATCAGTTCTCGGGAAGAAAGTTGTTTTTGCATATGCTTATAAAACAAGCTACGTAATTAACTTGGTAGAGTTATCTCACGTCTTTTACAAATTTCCTCTTCGTTGTCCTTCTTTTTCGAGTGTCTAAATATTCGAAAAAATTTAGTGATATATTAGAAAACCCTAATTGGCTGTAACCTTTATTATCCTCTCTTTTTGCTCATCTTTTTTCTACTGTTCTTCTCTATTGGCTTTGTCATGGAGCCACAGGCAACTCCTCGTTCACAAGCAAGCCTTCTGCTTCAAAAACAGCTCAAAGATCTTTGCAGGAATCCGATAGAAGGATTCTCAGCGGGTTTGGTGGATGAGAGCAATATGTTTGAATGGAGTGTTACCGTCATGGGGCCTCCTGGTTCACTCTACGATGAAGGCTATTTTAATGCCATTATAAGCTTTCCAAAGGATTACCCGTCAGCCCTCCAGCAGTGAAATTTACATCGGAGATATGGCATCCAAACGTATATCCTGATGGAAAAGTTTGCATGTCGATTCTTCATCCGCCCGGTGATGATCCATATGGCTATGAGCATGCAACTGAGCGCTGGAACCCCCTTCATACCGTTGAAAGCATAGTCCTGAGCATCATATCGATGCTTTCTAGCCGAACGACGAGTCTCCTGCGAATGTGGATGCTGCAAAGGAGTGGAGAGACCAGAGAGACCAATTCAAGAAGAGAGTGAAGCGTTGTGTTAGGATGACTCAGGAGATGTTGTGAAATTATGCGTGCAGTTTAAGATATTACAAATGATTAGGCACATACATTGAGGTTTCTTTTGCTATCTTGATAATTAAAAAGCACTACTTTGTTTTGTTTTTCTTCTATATGAATGGAGATTCTTTTACACTTGGTTATTCTTGATATATTATGGGTTATTTATCATGTTCATGTGTATGCTGTTTCTGCTTTTCAAGTTCAAAGTTTAATTCAACAATGATAAGACAATCTTGTTAATGCCCTCCAGAGGAGCAGACCAGGTCTAAAAGTGTCTTTAACTCTGAAACGAAAAATACAGGTCCACTCGAAAAGATAATTGAAAATCAAGAATTACTGCTAAATTCATGCCTCCTGAATAGCTAGTTTTGCATGGCTAAAGAGATCATTGGGCTGTTCCATTTAAATAATTGACTGCATCACAATCTGTGATCAAACAATGCTGTGTTCTCTCAATCTGAATTCCTCGAAAACCTGCTTGGATATTATGATGAAGAAAATCTAGCCCAAGCACTACTACAAGACACAAATAGATTAGTACGCTTGAACAAAAAAAGCAGCACAATAAATGGTGTCAATGATTTCTTTCTATAAACATCTCAAGTTACAGATACGTTTAGTGCTATAGAATTACTGCAACCAATGAATTCTTTCTAAACATCTAAAGATACAGAGTATGATTTAGTGCTATAGGATTACTGCATTTGTTATTCCTATACTACAGCAGCATGGTAAGTAATGATAACTAATGGTCAGTCAGGATATGTATACAGCACTTGCAACATCAAACCTGATTCTTGAACCACCAGCTTCCAGCCGTCAAAAGCAGAACCGGAGGCATTTTTCTTGCTCATTTGCTCCATTCCCTGGTTATCTCATTGCAGGACCAACAGAATATAAAACATGGTGGATCAATGACAGTTGATGAAAGTTGATTTGTTGTCAAAAAAGTTTTGCTCCATTTGCCTCCGTACACGCAAAGCTCTTCTGTGCTTACAGCAGACATATGCTACAAGTTTCAATATACTTGCATGTATGCGAGAAAGCCAGCAATTCTCTTTAGGGAACCTGAAGTACATGAAACTAAAGCTCATCCTCCCACTTATGGAATCACAAATTCTTTGTGTCATAGCTGTCAGCAGTATCCCTGCTGAGTTTAAGAACCAATCCAGTTTGACATAGGATTTAGCATCTGCTGCATAGAAGGAAGAAATGCAGATCTCCTTCAGGAGATAAGAGGATCACCAGCATGTCCCCAATTAAATTCCCTGATTATTCACATGTCACTGTCTGGCATGCCCCCGGTTCTCTATATGGGCAGTTGCTCCATTTGAGCTTTCTCCCACATATAAGGTCCAGTTTCATTTCAACCCCTCAGTTGAAGAAGTATGTGTGAGTGATTTGAGTACTTCACGCAAGTCAAAGTTACCTCTTTTTGGTAGAGCAGGAAAGGTCAATGTTGGATATGATGTATGGAAGTTTTCAAGCAACTGCTGACATAAACAGAAGATTACCAGAAAGTATTTGGAAGTAAAACAAAAGAAATTTGTTTATAAAAGCAAATTCCATCCTAAATAATATGAACAACATATAATTTTTTCTCACCAATTTCATTCTTAGAATCACAATATTCCACTCTGAAAACAAGATGCTGCATTAGTAGAGTAAAGCATCATTCAGCCTACTGCTACATTACACGATGAACTACTTCAACTCAGATGATAGACACCAGTCTTATGGACAAGGCTCGTTATGCATGGTCACCAAAAAGTGAGCAAACTCAAAAGGGAAAAGATATGTAGCAATCTCAGCAAACAAGATATGTAATCCTCTAACATGCTTACATTTTCAAGTATTGGCATGCTATAAAGCTCCACAAATTTCTCTCTCAGTATCTGGTTCATCTTGTCAACATCACACGCATGCGTCCAAAAGGAATCATGTACCCCTGCAATTACACTTTTTAAGAGATTCAAGCATTCCTGAACATAACCTGTTCTTTTAACTAGTATGAATGAAGCCTTGAAATTATTTGCCAAACTACAAAACTTTTCGATTGCCATATTTTGGAATGTAGTAAGCAAAAGAGTTCCACTGTTTAGAAATAGAGGTTAGGATTATCTCACAAGATATAAATCAAAGAAAATCCAAAACCTAAACAAACTGAAAGCCATTAAGAACTTGTCAATCTCGAAAGCTCATACAGTGAGTGAGCCTCCTGAGCATTTTTCAATTGTCTCATTTGCTATTTATGTAGTTTGTATTCACTTCACTTTTAGCTTAGTTTATTTGTCTTGTTTTCTAACCGTTGACTTTTACCACAAATTTGGCAGTTGCAGTGACTGATGAATCTTTCTTTATCTGCATCCTCTACCCTTATCTGATATCACTGGTGGGCATTTAGGACTAAGCCCATCATCTTTGCATGATATATGCAAACAGGATAACATTGTTCTTGCTCAATCTTTATTGTGCCTTGTATCAACAGAAAGTTTAAAGTTTTGGTATTAATGAACTCAGAAGTTCTCTGTAAGCATCCATTCATGTTGCAAGTCATCAAGGAGAAAATTCCAAGACTTCTTAATTTTGACACTCATTTTTAATCCTGCAGCATTTACAGAATCTTTTTCACCATTTGACATTTGTCATATCCAAGACCGGAAATCATGATATTCCCAGAATGTAATCCGCATATTCAAAGCGAGGTAGCCTTTTCCTTAACTATTACAATTGCATAGATAAGTCTTGTATTTCAGTTAAGCACACAAAAGATACTGTTACACCACCACTTTGCTTTTCTATTCATATAGAGATTCTTCAGTTAAGAGTAGTTACTATATCTCCCACAATAACAGGCCATGCCTTAGCTTTTGTTTGCAGGCATTTATATGTCACTCTCTCTACAACTATAACCATCTCAAAAAAGTACTTAATACTAATTGTAGCTTTTCTTGTATTGTTGCAAATATATCAGAACGCATACTTTTCTGGACTTATTATATTCACATAACTTGCCTAACAAACTCATCTTTGTTCTCCAAAGCACAACTGTGTAATAGCCATAGTCAAAGCAGGGCATCACACGAGATCTTTGGAGACCATGATTTTTATAACATAACTTGTTGAACAAGCGATTTTTTTTTTTTTAAATCATCCGAAGCATGCTGGTCTAATAGCAATCATGCAAACTTCTCAATTTGACTGCTGCATTATGCTGGACTATCATTTGATTATGCTTGATGTCCTACTTGTATATGACCACTGAGCTTGAACCCACCTCATATATCTCCTAGTTCTCCATGGCTAGCAATATTGAAGCTACTACCAAAAACAGTTGCTTCTACTTCTTGATAATAATTTTATGTCCCTCTTTTTTTGCATCCATCTGTTCACTATATTGCATTGCTCTTGATTCGTGTTAAGTTTTGTTCCAACTATAATTTTAATCTAATGATCGTCATTATTTTAAACCCTGGAAAACAGCATTAAACTTGGAAATGTTTACCTTAATGGTTGACAACTGGGAATGGCAGATAAAGGATTAAAAGTCTAATGTAGACTGATTCACATGGAAATTGGAACTTAAAATGTGCAACCCACGTGATTACTCAGCTCTTATTCTAGAGTTGTTAATCCTTACCTTACTGTGATCTTGTTCCAAGAACTAGAAACATTAAGGTAGATATTCAGCTCTTTGATATTCTGTAACACTCTTGGTGTTACTCCCTTTTACACCATATATTACGGTGGCACTCATCCCCTCATTTAATATCAGTAAGTCCGATATCCACCAACATTTGTGGATATTGAACAAAGTAACAAGTGTCACCCTAATAGATGGTGTAACAGGAAATTTAACACCAAGTTTGACAGAGTATCTAAACACATCTAGGACCCCAAAACCTTCAGGATAACAATCAGTAAACAGGGCTAATCTATCACAGAGCCAATAAGATATATACTTTGGAGGCCTTGAGAACATACCTGCAAATTGCAATCCAGAATCTCTACAAGCAATTGCGGTCATCATCATGTGAGTACTATCCAATGAGTGCACAAAATTTGGAGGAAAAGCAGTTCTCTGTTTTCTAGCCTCAACCTAGAGTACAAGATAGTAATCTATTCATTATAATCTTAAAATTGAATACTGAACTCAGAAAACGTGATCAAGGTGTCCAACTTATTCTTTGGAAAAGAAAACATACTGAATCACCCTCACGCTGCAATGCCAGAACCTGAAGCGAAGTTTTTATCTGCACATGGAGAAAGAACTGGTAACCACATAGTCACTGAATTACAGTAAGGAAATGACTCCACAGGGCTGAAACATGAAGCATTGACCTCTAGATAGTTTCTTCTTTAAAGACAGAACACAAAGGCCACTTCAGAGGGAGCAACTCACTGTTCTTGATCAGGTCAATTAAAAACCTGGTGCTAATGCGCTGTCTATCAAGGTTTATGCAGGTAAAATCATACAAATTCTTGAAATGCTATTGAATATCTTCGCACACTTTGTAAGTCATTAATGGAAGATAATCTATTAGTCATCCATTTTTTAGTCAAAATGAGGTGCCGTCCTCCTTAAATTAATAATCTACAAACATGATGCAGAATCACTCACTTGTGCCAGTCAAACATATCACATCAGGAAGTTGCACTAAGTGGCAGATTTAATTAGGTTTAAAGGGGCCAAATTAATCAAACACTTACAATGTGCCGCCGAGATTTAAAGTATGGTTGCACAACTGGGAGACCCAGTGGCGTTGTCCAGCGCACAGGTTGGTTTTCTGAAGCAATCACCTGCCAAATTTCCATTTATCAATTCAACGATCTTAATCGCATCATCATATGTTTAAGATGCAAATCTTACAAACCTTGGCACAGTCACCAAGCCAAACCATTATACCACGTGCTGCTTGAAACAGCTCACCAAGTGCAGCCATTGTCACCTGTAGAGAATGTCAAGATCATTTAACCAACCTATCTATGGCATCTTGTCTGCCAAGTTGTCATGCCCAAATTTACTTTTACCACTGTGGTGAAACCAAAAATATTCTCCTTAATAGAATATCAGTCAGCTTCTAATTCATCAAAACTGAAATGAACACGATGTTTCCTGCTTTTAGATTGTTTTTGAATCAAGACACTAAGTGATGCCTCACCGTGTTGTTTATTTTCCAAACTATGTTAATACTCTCTGTTTAACCTATCATTTTCAGTTATTCTACATGGTGCCCAGTCCATTAGGACATTCATTGTAAAAGCAACATAGTGTCTCTACAATATTTAATTCTCACAAAAAACAATGGCACAAATGACAATATTCTTGAAACCTACAAATGAACATGCACAGAAATATAGAATGAATAGAGCAATAACTTGCAGGAATAGCAGGTGCCATTTTATGAATAATCTTTCAAGTAATTCTTTGATCTCCAATCATTATAACAGTGTTGAAAAAATAAAAAGGGAGAAAAAAGACTCAGCAAATTAGGGAACTTCCTATAGTCTCTAAACATGAGCTTCAATTTAACCGATTGACAATTCTCCAAAGTACGTGCACGTTTATGAAGTTAATTTTACCAATTCACAAAAATATATACTTGACCATCTTTAGCAAGTTGTAGATATCTGAAAGAATGCACTGTGCATTATGGATCTGATTCTTGCAGCAGTATAAATTCCCAGAAATTCCAGGTCATTCAGGACCCAAGTGTTCTGAATATGCTCATGTTAAAAGGCAAATTTAGTATCAACTGTAAAAGATACAGTTAAGATTCATGCAAATCTCATTGAGAATTAAATTGATTATCAAGTTTCATACATCTGAACCATTCAAATTTAATCTCGCATGGATGTCTCGTCACGTTGGGAGATTTTCTGTTTAAAAGTAACCCGGAGGAGTAACACCTAACTGCCAGCAATATAAGCACTAAAATCTAGTTCTGAAGCTTACCTTAGCACCATAGCAAGCTGCACTGAACAGCAACCTATCATCAGTAATCAGACCCTTCTCCTGTAACCTTCTTTTGATTTGTTCACGTGCCCCAACATAAGTGACACCATATACCGATGTCATGACGTCTGCTTCACCAGTTTCCTGTCTACCTGAAAGATTCAACAGTCACAAACTTTTTTTGAAAATTTTGATGGAAGATTATTATTGCAGCACTAGCATCTTAAGGAAATTGAAGAATTGTTTAAAATTTGCAACTCACAGAAAAATAAATAAATAAATAAAAAGTAACCTGATCAACTAAGAGTTTGGCTATTGTAGCATTGGGATCAATTGTAGGGTCCTTTTCACTGTCTAGTCTTATAATATCATGAACCCTGAAAATCAAAACAGTTCTGAAGAGTTATTTTGTAAAACAACCATTTAGCCTTTGGAAAAAGCTTAAATAATGAGTCATTCTCAAATGCAGACAAATTTTGAGCCCAGCATAATTTCAAGTATACAAGAACAATACCAGAAAAAATAGGAAGTGAAAGTTAAACTAAGCACAGAAACATAGGAATCTAACTCAGGATCCCAAAGAACAATTTGAGACATACTGTCTAAAACACAAAACTACAAAACCATCTTTGGGAAATTAAATTTTAAAACTTTGAACTAGACTAACAATGATGTTGTGCCTGAATATCGTAAAGATACAGTTCCAAAGAGTTATTTCACAAAACCATTTAGACCATGGAAAAGTGTACACTCAAAAAAAATCATTGTTTAATGTACACAAAATCAGAGCAAAGTATAATTTCAAGTTTAAAAAGGGCAAACCGCAAGAATTAGTTAGGAAAATGTCAAAGGTCAAATGCAGACATACAGGAATTTCAGAATCACAAGGACTACTTCAGATATACTATCTCAAACACAATTTTCATCTAAATCTTTAGTAAATTGAATTTTAAAACTTTCAACCAGACTAACTATGGTGTGCCTGAATATCATATAAATTTCAATTACGTTTAGCCAAAATATAGGAAAGATTAAATACGCTGCTTTCCCAGATTCATAATATATATATATATATATATATATATATATATATATATATATATAACTAAACACCATGAATTTAAACACTTAATCAAACAAGTATCAAGAACATAATGTCATTTATATACAAAAATTGAAATATTTTGTGATTAACATGCTCTCGAAAAATCTTTTTCTCAAGTACCTTGCAGCAATTTCAGAATAAACATCTGCAGGTTTATCTCCAGCAATTAAATTGACTGCAGCAGCTTCCATCTGCACAGGTATGGTCACTTTATTAAAAGACAGAATGATAAAATGCTACATGCGAAAACAGATTTGCAAAATATAGTAGTGGATTAAAGTTCACATCAACTCAGGTCAACCTATTACAGCATCACCAAACTACTAGAGAACAAAACCTGCATATTGCTACAATCTCTGGTTCACAGGAAGTTAGAATTGATTCTTTGCCTAGCAAATAAAACAAGAACATGTACTAGCTATATCAATGAAGGAGCCTAGAAATATCAAATATACCAACTCAGGTAAATACACTCATGGCTATATCAATTGAAGAAAAAAGAAAAATGGAAAAGCTTTCACTTGGTTGGGGGGAAGAATAATTAAGTCATTTACGAGCACAATACATCAATGGCTGAGCAGAAACCATACACTGTCTTTCCCCAAAGCTGCATAGTGCTGTAGACCATTGCATGAACCATCCTAATACAGCCAAAAAGAAAAAAATCAAGTTACCAACTAACAAATTAGATTAAATAGAAGGAAATAACGATGAAACACATTCATGGGTAAGTTGCTTCATTCCCTATCAGAACAGTTAGAAAGGATAGAGTTATTCCTCTACAATCAAAAAATGCAACCCTGCAACTAATAAAAAGATTACTAAATATACACGGGACTGTATAGACATGTACCAGTGTTTTTGCTCAAACCAGCACTTTCTTTGAAATCTCATCATAAAAGGGATCTCATAAGTTTTTCAGAGATAAGACGACAGAAAGACAAACTAAAATCTGTTTCCAAATCACTATACATCTTTAAGTTCTCTAGAAGGAAAGGAACAGTGAAACTCTTGAAAGAAAGGAGAGGTATTGGTAAGTACAGCTTCTAACAACTAAGAACATACTGTTCCCTTTGGCAAACAAGAGTAAATGGTTAGTGTTTCTTTTTTTCCTTTTTTTTTGGGGGGGCGGGGTTTGATTGAAAATGATTTATCTTTGGATTGTGAAAGTGGTTCAATGCAGTTGGTCCTTTGTTACACCTTAGTCTACTTTTAAAAATTGGAGAATACAGTCATGTGAAATTCCACATTTAGGCATCACTTTTAGATTACCCCATTCTATCATATGGCTAAAAAAAGTTTACTCAGTTATGGAGACTTAAAATAGTTTATAAGTGCTTCACTTTGCTTGTTTCCTTTGCTGAGGAAAGAGGACAGAAGTACCTGGTGGATGGGCAGGTGAGAGATGACAGTATGTGGTGATGAGCTCTTTAAGGCTTCTGATAGGTTCATACAAGCTGCTAAGCACTGAAAAGGATCCTCAGCCTTTAACCACCAGCGATTTCCATTGAGAGGATTATCTGCTGAATCTAAAACTTCATTCAGGTGATTTTCCACAAAAGCTAGGCGCTGGTCATAGGAAAGCTTTTTGACAACCCCTCCATAAAGATTTGCTAGATGTATCTTAAGCCAATACACTCCAGATTTTCCTAAAGGCCGTCCTTCTGCAAACTCCAGGAGCCCTCGACATAGATCAGAACTCAGATGATTCAAATGTGGATGCATAGGATATGCACGGCCCCGAAAATCCAGATTGTGGGGATAATAAAAACCATCCTCATCTTTCATTTTATGAGCCACCTGCTCTGCATAAAAACTACTTACAATTTACCCATATAAATCTGCAGACTGATCTAAATTAGTACTTCTAGAAGCCAGCTAAGTGATGTGAGAGAAAACAAGATGATATGATTTGCAGAGGGTTTCAGCGAAATTATTACATGACAGACCAGTTCCTGATATTTCCTTCCTCGAAATGGGATAATCAGTAATGATAAAGATACTCACAGAAAGCTTGAGTTCAATGTCACATCGCTGTGAGTGCCTCTCTGGTTGATTTTTTTTGCTTTCCTCATGTTCCATTTCCATTTTTTGATTTCTTCCACCGCATCAGAGTGCAATTCAGGTTTATGAACCTATATAAGAAGTAACAAGTTGCATAGCATCAGCAATTTCATGCTGATGAGTCCAGCAATCAACTTGTTTTTATTCAAACATAAAACGGCACATTTGGGATAGCTTTTAAAGGATGAAAATCCATTTCAGAGGAAGTTTTTCAAACTGAACTTTAAATCATGGTATTGTTACATTACCACCTATTTTTGGTGATATACAATTTTAAAATCTATCTAAATCCTAAAGTTCACAATTTCAGTTCAATATTTTTTGTAGATCACATGCCAAATGCAGATAAATACTAAAATATGACCTTTTCCGTATCATTTCCATGCAGAAACTCCAATTAACTAGTTTCATTACCATTGAAATGCCTCCTGACTTTCTTGAGAAGTCCATCCAAAGGAAGCTATCTCATGTAGTTTCCTGTGCAAATCCTATAAAGTGGCTAAACCACGTGTTAGACTTCTTGAATGGACTTCCTTCGCTGAATGTGTACTTAAAAGTGCTTCCAAACATCCGTAACATCTTTAAACTCAAGGCTTAATGTTCAGCACACAGGATCTTTAAAGTATAAAGTTATGGGTCTGTGGATGAATTCATCATATAACACATATACGAACCAATCTTGCATGCTAGATATATTTAGAATGCACTTACATCGTTGCGGTTTACCAGGCCAGCAATGTTGCCACCTCCTCCCCAAACAGTCTCAACCACATTCAGAATTCGTCTGTTCACTCTCCATTTGGTGTTTCCCAACGTATCTAAGGCCTGCAAATGTGTAGAAGTAAAGGATCCCATAAGTTCCCTGAGCAAACAAATGTCCTCCAACTATCAGATAGGAATAAATAACCTATAAAGCTAATTGTAGCACAATTACTGATGGCTGCAAATTGCAGACTTCATCCCAGACCACATGTAAATTGACATCCACAATTTGCACTATAAGTTAAAATCCAAAAGTTTTGAAGACACAAACATTAAGATCCATCATGCTACATAACTTTCTTCTCAGAAGGACAAAAAGATTCCCTATAAAGGGTCAAATGATTAATTTATGGAGGATGAGAATTCAAATTAAAATTATCTTCCAGCTCCTCTTAATATTTGTTACTGATATACCTGATAACAGAATGGGTTCAGAACTTCAAGGGAAGAGGAACCAACCTTACTCAAAGAAGTCCACAGGCATAAATGGATTCCAAAATTCTTGCGTTACTTTCTTACAAGTACCATCCTTTGTTTTCTAAGGGTTCACTGTCAATTTGAGGACAAGTTATAGTTTCCATTTTGTCCAGAAGGTATCACGTGTTTCAGTCAGTATTTATTTCTTCCGGGTCCAAGGAACCAAACCAAAACCATGCAAATGGTTCTCCTGTCTCAATGAAAACCAAATTATGGTCGACATGGAGAATTTCTTCAAGAATTTTACAGCTTTGTGATATTGCTGGATGCTTGAATTGTAACAAGTTGAAAGACATACATTAAAAATAAATATATAAATTTGAAAGACATGATAGTAGGAATTAAAGAAGTATAAGCACATGTAATATTTAGAATGAGAATATTATAAAGGACTTCTTTTGCACATTAAAAAATAAGTCAACCAACTTTTTGAAGTTGTTCTTTTGATATGGCCTCCTGAAGACAATAGCTTTTATCTATGAAATGGAATCTTATTCCACCACACTTCGCATAGCTAGTACAGAGGTTATCAGGTGACAAATATAATCAGTTGACAAGTGTTATATTCTTCAGTAAATAAAATTGTTATCTTAAGCTGAAGTTGAGTAATTACAGATGCAGGTTTATATTAAACTAGATAAACTACCTTAGAGTATATACTGTCATTGCATCTACTACCAATTCATCAAACTCCACACTGGCTGTTTCTTTGTTTGAATTGCACCAAATCAATTAACAAATATGAATGTCCACAAAAGAAGCAACAAGAACAAAGACCAGTTCACTGCTTCAGAAAGAAAACTAAAGGCAACCAATGCACATCTTAGACATTCCATGATTTGTAAATGCTCTACATGTCGCATCCCTACTCAGCATCCAGATTTTGGCATTCATTACTCATGACTCAATGAAAATAAAATTTGGACAAGGCAATTAACTACACCAAAATTAAGGTTCCTTGAACAACAAGGTTACAAGTAGAGTAGGCCTTTCCTCTCTTGCTTAGAATAGATTCTTCTAGCCTTTAGAAGGTTGTCATGAGTTATCATATGTATACATAAATTTTTATATATTTCATATCTACAAGAGGCCTTTCTTAGAATACCCCGAGCAAAGTGTATTAGAAACAACTTTCGCCTTTCAAAGTTTCTAGAACAAAAGAATATTCTCGATCTTTTTTAAGGTCTTTTTTTCCTTTTTATTATTTAGAAAAGTAGCAAAAAAGATTAGTAACAGACACCATATCAAAGAACAAGAGATACCATCTCAGTCAGAATTGAAGGTAATAATCAGGTGAACAAATTATAAAAACCATGCATTACAAGTTTGAGACAATGAAAAGCACCAAAGCATTAATTTAAGAAAAATACTTGTTGCAATTATTTTACAAAAGATAGAACACAATCACCAAGAGAATAATTCTCGCCTCACCTCATACACTTTCTGCATTTGTTTCACAGGAGCACATTTAATAGCATCTTGTTGCTGCCTAGACCCATGAGTACGCATTAAATATGAAGGTAAGAACAAATAACCACCTTTATCATACCTAAAAAGATGAACTATGTCAGGTTCTTAATACGCAAGGCCAGCACTTTCATAGAAAAGAAGTCATTATGACAAGTTACTTCAAAATGAAATAGTCCTGATATCACAATTAAACCAACTGGACAGATTATATATGGTCTTAAGATCTATACAGACAGAATCATATCATACTTTCAAATTGAATTTGACATGTACAAGTAATTCCCAGAGACCTAAAACTTAAAGGAATTTAATCTCTAAGATTACCCTTTCCACTTTTTTGGTGGCACCAGCATTGGCACATAAGGAACCATCATGTGGTTAACCTGCATAGAGAAAATAGATTAGAAACTTCAAAGGCAAACTGCAATGCTCCATGTAGACTACTTTCCTCGAATGAATGGAAAGAAAAAATCTTGGATAAAAAATCTTGGATATATGAAACACTGGTGTAAAATCTTGTCACCATAGTTGTGTTCAATCCATGACCTTTATTAAAGTGAAGAATAGAAGTTGAACATCACAAAAGTACTAACCCTTCCTAGAAGGACATTAGAAAAAAAAAAATTGGAGAGCAGTTGCCGCTCATTCACTACACATCTAGGTCAAAACACAAATGCAAAAGTCAAAAGCAAAGAGATCGTATAAAGGTCAGTACAGAACCATGAGTGACCTTGTCATGCCTATGTTGCAGCTCTTCCAAACTCTTGAAGTATATACTGCCCTAAAATTTTCTAGACTCGGCAATTTTTCATATAACAAGTCCTTGGCAGTAGATGCGCACCCTCACATCTCAAAGCCCAAGCTTTTTGAGCTGTTTGATACTCTAAATGGAGGTAATTCCTTCTGTTCAAAATTTAACAAGAACCATTAACATTTCACTTGCATTACTTTCCTCGACATTCTCCAGTTATAGCTTTCAAGTGAGAAAATCACTTCAACTCCAAAACATTCTCAAGGTGGAGAGAGAATGAAGCTCCTAAGCATGAAACACTGTTTAAAACAAGCTTCCCTTACTATTAGAACTAACTAAGAGAATGGTAAATTAACTTAGAGCTTTGGGACTCCAAGTGATTCATCAACTTAAAAGAAACAATCAGTAGCATAAGAGGTGAAATCAACTCACACTTCTATCAAGTCCACAATGGATCACCGGATCACACACTATAACTCCGTACCTCTTGACAGGGGTTCTGCCTACAAAAACAAACATAAAAGGGCCCACTTAAAAAACATAAAAATAGAGCAGAAGTGGAGAACTATGATGGTACACATCACCATTTATATCCAATGCAACTAGATAAAAACAGCCCGTCATCTAGGACCATAAAAAATTTCAGAATGATCCATTAGTTGACCAACTTTTTTGAATGAAATTGACACATTTTTTAAAAATAGTATAGGAGAATCCTATTAGTAATTCGTAATGACAACACAAACTCAGACTTTATCCATTTACATATCAGAGTGCTATAAAGAAACGAATACTAATTCGGGTGCGGGGGTGGGAGGGTGTGTTAGTGCTGCCAGATCAGTATGCTGTGATTTGGATGCCGCCTACAGAATCACCCAGTCAATGAAGTTATATATTCAAAAATCGATATGCAGGCAAGCTATAGCTACAATATCAGTAGATACATTATGTTTCTATATACTAAAAGGCATGTCTACAACCAAACGTAATCAAGTACCTTATTAGTTGAAACTTACAATAGAGAAAGCTCATTAATAAGTACTCCATCCGTTTAAAAATATGTGAAATGTTTTTACAAGAAATTCACTGTACATCATCCAAAAAGTTTACACTGTTAACTAACAGAATCAACAATAATCCAGTAGAGTTTAACATACTGCTTAGTTGCCCAGGAGGAATCAATGAACTAATGCTAGAGTGTTTTCAGATTGCAGCTACAACAATTAAAGTTGTACCCACTAAAAGAGGATACATGCCTTTAATGATGAATGTTGTTTTAGTGGCCAGCTACAATAGTGTGAAAAGTAATCTAGATTGATAGGTAACATGCCCTTACCCTGCCTCATTTGTTGCAATTTTGAAAGTATGCCTAAATGCTGGTCGAAAATCTGGTGGATTTTCAGTTGACTGACTAACCGGAGGTTGCACATAAGCTGTTTCCGTTAGTAATTCTATGAGACAACATCCCAGCTGCATGATATCAAACAACAAATATGATTACCAATCAGTAAAAGGTTACCATACTATCCAGAAATAAATGGTATCTTCTGCTCTTAAAAACTCAAAAAAGTGAAACAGCAACATGCACAAACCTTAGCTTGTGTGTCTCTACCCCAAGACTTAAACTTATCATTTTTCACCAGCTTTTGCGCCTCAGAAACTCTTTTCCTTCTAATCAAATTCTGAACACGTTTCCTTAGTATAATTGTCTCATTGGTCATAGATTCAGGACTCTCAGCTGAAATTCCCTTTCTCTGGGACTTTTTTGTTTTCTCCAAGAAATTGTGAATCCTAACCTGATAAAAATAAAAATGATAAGGACATTAGGTACTTATGTCCTATCAAGTGACTTGTAAATGAAAGAAGAAAACTGCACAGGCAAAATGCAGAATATATAAGCATGATGAAAGAATCACAAAATTTCTCTACTGAAGTCTGGTAATAGGTGTTGGATCTTGTTAAAATACAATAATAAGCACAGGAACCCCAAAACCAACTCCATAAATTATCGAACAAAAACTCAAGTATACAATCTTTTCTAGTAATTTGAAATTAAACCTACTAAATACTAAGACAGGAACAACATAACAGTGATCCATAGTGACGAGAAGAGGAATTACTAATATCAGATAAATGGTACAAGACATGAATGTGAAATTTAAAAATCCCTGGGCAAAAACATAGGCAATACAGGACAAGGAAAACCATAGAAATTCATGTATACTATGATATAACATGGCAACCAACTATTGAATTCTATTGCGCAAAAAGTCCAAGAGGGGATCATGCATGATCTTGGAATAAATAAGATAAAAGAAATGCAAAAATGGCAAGAGGTCACACCATAAGAATGAAGAGAAAGAAACGGTTGAAAGGGATAATTTTAGTGGAACATCTGTTTGTCATTATTCACTACCATGAAAAGTTCAACTTTAAATTACTGATAACGAGGAAGAAATCCTGTAACACTACTGCTGGATCACCAAATGCCTCTAACCTACGTTTGCCCTTAGTTGAGCAAGATAGAGCAAAGAAGATCAAACAACCAAAGCTTAACTTGATACATCAACTGCACTGGGTTTGGGGTGTTTTGTGTGTGTGTGGGTGTTTGGGGGGGGGGGGGATGGGTTGGGTGGCTCAGGGGAAGGGAGTGTAAGTGAGCGGTCCCGGGTTCGGACCAAGATCTTGTTAAGGTAAAAGGAATGGCTTTAAAGTTCACAAAATATGAAATTCAAATTGCAGTACTGAAAAATTAATCTAATTGTGGTCAAATCATAAGCTGACTATGATTATTAAATAAATTTCACTCAGGAATGACAAATGAACCACTTGACTCATCCTATTGAGATGCTACCTTTAGCATATCATGTATATAATCAGTTGCAATTGGATCCTTTCAAGCTTTGTATACATTTGTCAGTTATCCAGCATTCTCATTTGTGGATTATTTTCCTGTAATGTTGTCTCTTGGTTGATCATTTGAAATGTTATTTTCCTATAATTCGTGGATTATTTTCCTATTGAGGTACTACCTTTAGCATATCATGTATATAATCAGTTGCAATTGGATCCTTTCAAGCTTTAGTATGCATTTGTCAGTTATCCAGCATTCTCATTCGTGGATTATTTTCCTATAATGTTGTCCCTTGGTTGATCAAGATCAATTGAAATATCACTAGGTACACATCACTTCACTAGGTAGTCTTACTCTTCACCGTGAAATACTTTCAGTTAGTAGTAGGGATCAAACTTCTCAAGCAGCCTTCAAATCATGTCCGACACACATTAGTTAAATAAGGGTGACTGAAATCTCTTTCATTAATGAATGATGGACATAATACTGAGAAAAATACAGTTTCAACATTTCCATCATTTGCTCATAAATTATATGAAGCAATTTGGACGTTAGTATATGCCAACACTCTTAGGCAACTTTAGGGCACTCCTAATCAAAATTTTTGTTAATCAGCACGCTCAAGACTTGTGAAGACCAACATAAAATTTAGTTAATCAAGGCAAAACCTTTTCTTCAAATGAAGAATATCATCAAAGTAGCAGGAAGACTGACCATCGATTATGTTATGAAGACCAACTTAATAATTTCAAATTGATACAGTTCTATTCCTGTTTCTGCTTCTTCTATCCTTTCTTAATTACATTCTCCCAATTTTTAATTGTCAGGCCCGAGATTTGAATCACAAACCTAATAATGATGAGAGCGATTAGAGTTCTCTCCTGTCCAATTACTAATGGCATTTCAATGATTATTAATGACTCTCTACCTCCTTTCTATTTTTGCAAAGTATATAAAGAAAAAAAAATGTCACAAACATTAGCCATAATATAATCTGAACTGTTTAATTGTTTATTGCATTGCATCCACAGAAGCTCTCAATACGACAAAAAATCCAAAATATTTGGAGAAACGAACCGCAAATAAAAAGAAAGGACATGATGAAAAATATTATCATCATAAAAGTACAAGGCAAATAACAAGGGCCCGGGATGGATATCTTGGAAGCAGTAAATAAGGAGTGACAAACAATTTTTTCCCCATGATACTAGGACTACAAACGAATCGACTCGCGAGCGGCTCGAGTCGAAATCGAACTCGAACTCGAACTCGAGCTCAAAATATTAAGCTCGTTAGCTCGCAAGCCGGTTCGCGAGCTCAAGTATATATATATATATATTTTTTATTTTTTTTTAAGTATATATATATTTTTTTATATTTTTAATTTTAATAGTAAAATTACATATATATACTTAATATTTTATTATTTATTAAGAAAAAATATTATTTTATTTATTTTTTAAAAAATAAAATAATTATTTTTTATTTTTTTCGAGCTCGAGCTCGAGCTTGAAATTGTCAGCTCGTCGAACTCGAGCTCGAATTCGAGTTCAATGAAATTATGTCGAGACTCGACTCGATTAGGCCAAAACTCGACTCGACTTGACTCGTTTGCAGCCCTACATGATACTTGAGTAGAGAGAGATTTCTGTTAAAAACAACGTTGTCAGTATATAAATGGAGCTACTTGTTTCTAGGGCCCTCTTGAAATTGCCTAGCTCATTGTTGGGATTTCAGTAGCTGATTTATGAATTTTTTTCTTTTAAATAAGTAAAACACCGAAAATGAGAACCATGAGGTTTGGAGTGCCACTTTAATATCAAAAGTTTATGCTAGGTCAGCAATTTGTATTGAGCTAACCATTTGGATTGGATTGGATTGGATATTTTAGATATATTAAAAAAAGGTACTTTAATTCTTCTTTGAAATGTGATGTATGTTTTTTTTTTAAAAAAAATATGTATTTGATAACAAAAAAAAGAACATCTTAATTAATTAAATAGATCTGAATTATATAGACAAAATTAACTTCGAATAATAAGTGATAAACCATTCAGTTATCGGTTAAATATAGAATGTGCTTTTTCTTTTAAAAATAGAATGCACTTAAATGTTATGATCTTAGTATTAACATTCAGATATCAAAATTCAAAATCAGATTTTAGTTTATCAAATACACCCTAAGTTAAAGTTCCCCCTCTCTCTGATGTGCTGAAGTTAAAGTAATTATTTAGCCGAGTGACAAATTCAAAAATGTATTCTCTAACTATCTTTTTTTACCCTATAATTTATTCAAGAATGCGCTATAATAATTTTTATGAAAACTCTTCTTCTCTTTGAACTTTCAATTTGGGTAAGATTTATTTATGCACTTTTAAAGTTTATGGTACTTTAACCTCCTAAGCTATCTATTTTCGCTTTTTGCAGTTTTTAACTTTTTTTTTACTATATTTTAATGTGCTGATTTTAAAAAAATAATAATAATAAAAAGAATAAGAATGACATAAGATGCCATTAAAACATCGAGAAAGAGAAAACAAAAAAAGGCAATGAAAACGAAATGTTTAATACCACCAGCTGCGCCTACTAGTAAATAAGCAAGACAATTACTATCACCTTTTGGTAACAAAGCAATATACTTCATTTTCAAGTATTTAATTTTCTTCTTAATAAGTTATCAATCATTCATCTTTTACCTTTTCATTCAATTTTTATGATATGCCAACGTCAAGTCTCCTCTTCATTGTTAGTGCCTTTCAAGTTTAGTTGCATCACAATGCACAGAACAAATAAAAAGTCCTTAGAGGTGGCTGTGGGTTCCCGGCATTTTCAACTCCTTGTAAAATAGACAATCATATGCAGGTCCTTGGAAAATTATAACTTTTAGTTTAACTTCCATAAAGATTTTGAAATTAAAATTTCTTCCTTAAAGTTTTATATATTTGGCACCCAATAACTTAGTTTCCATATAAGCCACTTTTTCTAGTGCCATTCGTGGCGTTGTTAACATCAGCACATTAGTGTAAAGGGTCCATTTGTATACTTCGAATTTAGCTTGTTATAATTTCAGAACTAAAAAAAAAAAAAAGAAAAAAAAGAAAGAAAGGGCATTACATCCCGGTCAAAATTCTTAAATGCTTGTCCTTCTGTTTTCTCATTTTTTTTTCCTTCTTTCTAAAATTAATCCTAATAACTAATTAATCCCAAATTGAATCCTAAAAAATGACTGATGGGACCTCTATTTCCGCTTCTCCAAATCTCCTACAAGAGAAAGAGGTTTGTTTGGATTTGCCTAATTGCAATATCCCAAAAAAGGATCCTTTTACCGTCAGAATTAGAGTAGAATCAGGACTAGTATCCTTTAACTAAGCTCTGGTACCTATAAAAACCACTTCATACTTCACAAAAGAAATTGTCATCCACTATCTCCAGATCTCTCCTTTAATTTGTTACGAGTGATTATTTCTGATTCTTTGATTCTTAATTAATTTTTTTTTATCGGTTGATCATGGCAAGAAAATCAACGATGTCAATTGTTGTTGCTCTTCTTTGTCTCCTTACGTTTTCAACCCAGTCTACCCTTTGCCAACCTGACCTAAAGCTGAGGGACATTGATAAACAGCTTTGGGATAAACTCATGAACAAGGGCTACGGAGCCATGGCAGTTTTTGGTCTGGGAGAATATTTGGATGATCTGTTAATTTCTGCCCCGTCGGAATTGACCACGAACATCACCGCCATCACTGTTTTCTGTCCAACAGACGAAGGTTTTATTTCACAAAACCACATCGGCATTCCGACGACCTTACTCAAGTACCACGTTATACCCTTTAAGGTTGATAAGAAGACCCTTCAATCTTCCCCTCTTGGCTCCACCTTTCCTACCCTCCTCGCGAACGCCCCTCCTCTGGTCAGGACTCGCCACAACAATAAAACTTCCATCAACGATGTCAATATTATGAACTGGGAAATCTACAATGATGGCAAGTTGATTGTTCATGGAGTTGATGCATATTTCAATCCGGCATTCGCTGTTGTTTATCCAGGTAGAGTTGCAAAGCACGATTGTGCCGAATGCAAGAAGATTAATTTGGATGATCATCATAATGATCACGAAATTCCCAAAGGTCTGAGCAACTGCAGCAGCGGCAACTCGCTTCTTGTATTGGCTGTAATAGTATTGGCCGTAACAGTAATTGGTTTGTCCTGCCATCGTTACTTCTACGAGGGTCGGCATGATGACCA